TCAACCCACAGAGCACACGTGTAGAAGTTCTGACAGTAGGCTTTGAACAGCGTCATCTTTACCTGTGTACTACACCGCGCGAATCTGTGAGCTAACATATTGCAGCGCACACTCAACGCCCTGCGCTCCCTCTCGATATCCGTGTCATCCACCATATCATCAGTCAACCAATGGCCCAAGTATTTGAATTTGTTGACTCTTTTTAACTCAACACCACAAAGAGTGACACTGGGTATATTGTGATAGGTTTTCGAACCAGCTTTAAACTCCATCAGCTCACTCTTTGTGGCATTATACCTAAGTCCGTGCGTCAACGCATAGGTTTCACACATTTTTAACAACCTTCGCATTGCACCAATCGACGGGCTCAGCAGCACCATGTCATCGGCATAACTCAGATTGTTAACACACACCCCGTCAATATAACATCCAATACCAGTTCTGCTAAGCCCCTCGATTAATTCGTTCATGTACAAGTTAAAGAGCTTAGGTGAGGTCAACCCCCCCTGCCTCACTCCGCACTCCAACCCATACATATCCGTATGCGCACCTGCCCATCTAACACTATTACGTTGGTTTTCATACCAATATCTAAACAAAGCACACAGTTCAGGTGGTAATTTAGTTTCCTTCTGTAATTTATTCCACAAAATATTGTAGGAAACCAGGTCAAATGCCCTCGACAAGTCCAAGAAACAGGCATAGACTGGCGTCTTTCTTGATGTATAGTATTGTACAGTCTGCTTGAGGCACAGTATTGCAGTTTCAGTTGAACAACCCGATTTAAAACCAAATTGTGCATCATGTATATTCAAATGCTCCCCCAAGCGCCTATCAAGCAAACTGTCCAACACCTTAGCAGTGATGTTCGCCAATGATATAGGCCTGTAGTTAGACAAGTCAGAGGCATCGCCCGTCTTGTTTTTAACGATTGCATTGGTACAATTACAGTATACATAAGTTCGTCTGGTAGATAACAATGACTTATACACAAATTAAAAAACATCGCAAGTATTCGCGGCAGGTGTACGCCCGCATGCTTAAGATGCTCAATACTGAGGCTGTCGTATCCGGGTGACTTTCCGCTAACCATGTTTTTTATTACGCTTGCAACATCCCCAGCAGAGAATCTAACAGTTAGGTTTTCGGGATGCCCCTCCACACTGAGCATCTGCCGTATATTAGCAACCGGAGACTCAACTCCAAAATGACGCTGAAATGCATTAGCGATACTTAAGGGCTCGTGCACACCGGCCACACTTACAGGTAGACTCGGCTTTAAGTTAAGTTTATTTGTATTTTTCCAAAATTTTGCAAAGTTTTTATCTGAATGATTTTTAGTAATTATGTCCATTTTAATTTGTTGTTCATTATTCTGACAATATTTTAATTTTGATTTAAATGTTCTTCTGGACTCACACATATTATTGTACAAATAACCAGAACTTGGTTTTCCATATAATATCCAATTTTGATACCAAAGGCGAGCCTCTCTGTGTGCGCCACTAACATATTTATTCCAACCTATGACGTACTTATATTGTTTACGTTTGGTACCTTTATAACTAAGCTCAGCTCCTTGCTTAAGTATAGTTACAATATTTTGATATAACGTAGTAAGCGTCGATTTATAATTGCAGTTAGAACAGGGTTTGTCCGCACATTCATTAAATTCAGAGGGAAAATCTAATAGTCGCAACTTTGAATGACAGTACTCTTTATAATATTTTGTTTGTTCAATGGTGTCGATTCTGGCATGATTCTCTAAACCTAAACTTAAATTTGACAACAGTGGTACCAATTCTGGCGTGATTCTCTAAACTTAAAACTAAATTTAACATCAGTCTCTCCTTTTCATTCTGTATAGAGAATGACAAGGATATACCGCTGTCAAATTTAAGTTTAGGTTTAGAGAATCATGCTAGAATCGATACCAGTGTATCCTTGTCATTCTCTATACAGAATGAAAAGGAGAGACTGTTGTTAAATTTAGTTTTAAGTTTAGAGAATCACGCCAGAATCGGCACCAATATCTCTTTCTCCCCAAATTATTTTATTATCGTGGTATATTGAATTGACAATCTTAGGTTTTATTAACTCTATATTACATTCTATTAACAAGGGATAATGATCTGACCAATACGTATCATACATCACAGAGGCATTGACAACCAAAGACCGCGCTTTATATGCGTATTAAAAGCAGAAGGGGAGGCATTCGCCCAGCAGTGGGACGCTATAGGCTAGATTAAATTAAAAGATGTGTCCCACTACTCTGGATTTTTGCAATAAGAGTCGATTTTTTTGTGTACCAATAGTAGAAGGGGGCATTGAGACCAGCTGAGGGTTCTTCATCAGATACTTCAGACCTTCGATTTTTCACATCAAATGCAGCGGCCCAGCCAGTTGAATATTTTGTATAAAGGCTGTAGTCCCGCATTTGGCTCATATATTTTTCAACGTCATCTGCGATGCCAAGCTCCATTTAGGAGTAAATAATCAAAGCCTTCAACCAAATTATGGTTTCAAATGCGTTGTTGTTGCGTCTAAATTATCTAAATTCAATGATAGCCTTTTCGTAACTTGCCAGATAAACTGCAAATATTGATTTCACAGGACTTGAAAAGAACAATCTGGCAAATAAAAAAAAACAGCATTTTTCTGTCATTTTATTTGGAAATTATTTTAATCACAGGCAGGGGGGGGCGTATTACGTAATCTGGCGCCCCGGACCAGATTTCGATTTGCCCCCTCCTAGAATTAAGATTAAATCAGAATATAGTTTAGAACACAGATAAATGATTGGTCTCGCGTCGAGTGAAGCGAGACCAATCATTCATCCATGGTTCAGTAACGATTGCTTTTGCCGCCCCTCACAGCCCCTTGTACAGATCACTATATATGTGTGTAGAAAGCTAGTACAGATATTGCAATCCACGAAGACGAGCGCCGCTATTCCTCCTCACCGTTTATAGGTTCCGCCAATATTTGACTGTTATCGGCACACACTAATTTCTATGATAATCTAATGATTATCATGGAAATTACTGTGTGCGTCTTCGTGGATTGCAATATCTGTACTAGCTTGCTACATACATATATAGTGATCTGAATTTTATATCTTTATATATATAATTCTTCTGTGAGTGTGTATGTCACTGAACTTCTCTTAAACGACTGGACCAATTTTGATGAAATTTTTTGTGTGTGTTCAAGGGGATCTGAGAATGGTTTAGATTCACAATTTTGTCCGCTGGACAACCCCTATTTTTTTAGGGCGGTACGAAGTTCGCTGGGTCAGCTAGTATTAATATAAAATTCTCGTGTCGCGGTGTTTGTGGTTAAACTCCTTCGAAACGGCTTTCCCGATTCTCATGAAATTTTGTGCGCATATTGGGTAGGTCCGAGAATCGGACAACATCTATTTTTCATCCCCCTAAATGTTAAGGGTAATCCACACTTAATTTTTTTTTTTTCAAGTTTAGATATATTTTTTTGAAATTTTTTTATGATACATCATACAAAAATACATACAACCCTAAATTTTCACTCTTCTACCACCAACCCCTATTTTTTTATGGCGGTACGAAGTTCGCTGGGACAGCCAGTAATAATATAATAATATGATAATTATCTTTTTATCACTAATTATCCTTCAACCAAAAATTGGTGTGGCGCTACGTAGATTGCACTATCTGTAGCCGGCCTTCACAGTTTGCCGTCCGGGCCTTGGCCCTTTTGGGCCCCGGCCGAATACACCCCTGATCACAAGCCATGTATAAGTGCTTGTAACAGCCTAGTCTGAACAAATGATAAGTGCTTGTAACAGCCTAGTCTGAACAAATGATAAGTGCTTGTAACAGCCTAGTCTGAACAAATGATAAGTGCTTGTAACAGCCTAGTCTGAACAAATGATAAGTGCTTGTAACAGCCTAGTCTGAACAAATGATAAGTGCTTGTAACAGCCTAGTCTGAACAAATGATAAGTGCTTGTAACAGCCTAGTCTGAACAAATGATAAGTGCTTGTAACAGCCTAGTCTGAACAAATGATAAGTGCTTGTAACAGCCTAGTCTGAACAAATGATAAGTGCTTGTAACAGCCTAGTCTGAACAAATGATATTGAATTTGAATTGAATTAGACTCAAGTTCATATTATCTTTTATTATAATTTAATTTCCTCATTGAAAACATTTGGTATTCTAATGCCCAAATAATTACTGTTGGATATTGTGCTACATGACAGATAACTAGGTATCTGATACTTTATCAGCAAGCTGTGAAACTTACGCTTAAACTTTGATAGTGGAGAGTACAAATAAAAAATAAAATATTCTATAAAAAATCCGCTTTTATTTATAGGAAACTTGTTAATTTATAAAATAGTAATACATGTTGTATTATAAAAAGAAAACTCTCATAAATAAGATACTTAACTTAATAAGTTACTGGCTATCCTTCCGCTCGGCAATTCGGACAAACATAGACTTTAACACACGGGAATAAGGCATATTTTATTTTAGCAATCTCATTCAGCACCACTCATTCGCGTTATTTATAATTTTTGAGGTGGAATAACTTAGGCTAAACAACTATCATTCAATGTAAATAGCTGTTTCAGGTGATAATTTTTGTTTATTGACATTTATAAAAAATCAATAATGTTTTTACAATGCTGCACACAAATATTTGGAGAAAGGAATGTACTTTTGTATGGAAATCTTCAAAAAATTCAATCTTTAATTTTAGTAAATTTTCTTAATTCAAATCATTAGCCATAATAAAAAAACAGCATATTTTGAGTTAAAAAGCCATAACTATGTAAATAAGGAGTAATGCATGTAATTTTTCTATAATAACTTTAAATAAAATACGTTTTATTTCTATTTTCGAAGTTAAAATCATAAAAATTAACAATGGCATCGATTCTGTCTAAATAAATAAATAATAAATCTAAATATGACAACAGTCTGTCAACAGGAGAGACTGATCTTAAATTTAGTCTTTTTAGACTATCATGTCAGAATCGACACCAATATTCCTAATTCTGGTATTAAAACCTAATATGATAGCAACTTTTTCTTTTCACTGTGTCTAAAACATGACAAAGATGTAATTCTATAAACGTCAGTTTTATTTTTAAAATCAGGCCAAACGCCATTGTGTCGTACAGCCAAAGAGTCGAACATTTTTCGAGTACAATCTCTCCTTTTCATTCTTTATAAAGCATGATAAGGACATACTATTGCCAAATTGAGAATTAATTTTAGAAAAAAAATCATTTATATCCAAACGCCATTATATCGTACAGCCAAAGCAGTGTAACATTTATTTTAGTTTCTCAGTGATGTGTTGGGACATTATAATTATTTATCCTTACGATTCCCTCAGTCGCTAAAGTCGTCCGAGTCGTCGTCTTGAGTGGAGTCGCGTATGCCTTTCTTCTGTATGTGGAGGGATTTCTTTTTCTCCTCCGGAGGGTGGAGGAGATCTCCCGAGTAATCTATGACGTCACCCCTGAAAAAAAATGATATTAATGAAAAGAGAATTTTACCAGAGAGAGAGCTAAGAGCAGGCAGCAGACGGGACACGAACCTGCACCCTCCGATATCCGCGCGAATGCACTGGCTATTATGCTACCGCGGTCCCAATTGTCCGTTTCGAATTTTCTCTAGTATTTCTTAGGCTGCAAGGCAGCGCCATCTCTTCGCATTGTAAGTAATCCAAAATGTCAAATGAATACCTACTTACCTACCCTACCTAAATGCTAGAGAAAATTCGACACGGCCATTAGGGCCGCGGCAGCATAATGGTCAGTGCATCCGCCCGGATATCGGACGGCGCGGGTTCGAGTCCTGTCTGCTGCCTGGTCCGCGTAGATTTTTTTCTAGTAATATTTTTTTTAGATTTAAACACCTAGCAGTTATATTAATTTTATTAGTGTAGAACTCTTGTAGGCAGGCGTGTACCATCTCAGGACTCATCCCAACTTTCCATCAGGCAAGATTGTGGTGAAACGCCTTCCCTAATAAGCATTAAAAACAACAAGTAGATAAATATTTTTCTAATTTAAGTATCTACGTAAGTCTGCTAACTGTGTAGTATAAAATTAATATATGTAATTAATAAATAAGAATCAATATTATTTCAAGGCTGCCTTGAAATAAAAGCCTTTAACGTCAAACATTAATGGTCGATCAATAAAACAGTTTTGTATTAAACAAATGGTATTTTCTATGATATGCAAGTGTTTTGTTTTGTATTATCTGCCTGTAATGCTTAAACTGCTGAACCGATTTTGGTGGAATTTCTTATGGAGATTGTGGGGACTTCAAAAAAGAACACAGGCTAAATTTTTTGTTGTGAAAGTGTAACTTCTATTTTAGGAGGGGTAAATACAAATTGAAAATTTGAATACATATATGTATTTATATTCCATAACACAAGCCTTACAGCGCTTTGTTTGGCACTTAGCTAATATGTGTGCGTGTTAGAAATATTTATCGTATTGCTATTACAATTACAAGATTGATAAATCTAAAGAAATATCTCCTAAGAAAAATTTCCCTCTGTCATTCCGGGCAGATAGCGGGATTCGATATCTGTCTGAAACATGTGATTGGAATTTCTTTTATTTATAATTTGTTTATTTTATTCAACTAGTAGATTCATTCGGTTTGTCCTCACCTAGCTAACCTCCACTCCAGCATCTCAGTGTTGAAGTCGTCCCTGTTCCCGAGCTCGGTGAAGCCAACGATGAAATCCTTCGTCTTGTTGTCCTTAACTATGGCTATGGTGGGGATCACGCGGATTTTGAGTCTACCTACAGATTAAATAATAATATTTAGGTCTAAAATGTCTTTATTCAAATTGTAAACTTATGCCGCTCTATTACATAACACAGATTAAAGTTAAACCAGGACTAAATCTGATGCCGCCACTTCTGTTTGTTAAAAGTTGACAGAGACAGCATTATAATTGAACCGAGATTAACTTAAGTCCGCGTTTTGGAATAATAATGACTAAACCTTAGGTTAAAACAAAGAGGGAAGATATGGCACTCGCGGCGCAAAAGTGATCCGCTTAAATTGTGGTGCAAGACCACAATTCGCTTAAGTCACAATTGGACATTCAAACGCGCTGCATGTGCACTCAATGTAATATATATTGCGTATATTCTGTATTATAAAGATAAAACAATGCCTTCGATGCTTTTATGAAAACACAAATAGTTTAAAATCAAATAACAAATGCCTCGGCAACACTTTTCATTCGTAATACTGTAAACACATTTTTTCTCAAAAATCCCGGTTTGTCGTGAATGTTATTTACGTAATCGCCATTTTGTTATCCAGAAAAGGGCAACATTACAGCTCAGCCGTACGGACTCGGAAGCGGACTCGCCGTGTCGCTCGCGCTGCGTTGAAACGTACAATTCTGTCTCACTTGCTCGATTGAATGTTTATTTACAGAAGTGTGCGTGTGTGAGTTGCTTATGAAGTTGAGTCGGATCATATTTTATTTATTATTTGAGGAGCTCGATGGCGCAAGTGGTTAGCGCGTTCCGCTGCGATCGTTGAACTTAAGCAACTTTCGCAGTGGTCGGTAATTGGATGGGTGACCAAAAATTACTATCTCGAGCTCCTCCGTGCTTCGGAAGGCACGTTAAGCCGTCGGTCCCGGCCGCATCTGCAGTCGTTAGCACCCACCAAAACGCACTGGGCCCGCGTGGTGGGTCATGGCCCAATCTCCCTATTCCATCCATAGGGAAGGCTTGTGCCCCAGCAGTGGGGACATTAATAGGCTATTATGATATTTTATTTGATGCTAGTATGAGCGTACCATATCTTCCCTTTTCGTTTTAATCTAAGAAAAATGCTGATTTAACTATTGAATTGTCTGATAATCTTTTAATGGATATGTTACCAGTAAGGAACGGTGCCCTCTCCGCGTCCAACTTGACGAACCTTGCTTCCACGTGCTTCTTGCACAATATCTTGAGGTGCATGTCGACGATCTTGCAGCGAGGGGAGTCGTTCCGGTAGAAGTGGCACACCACGTTGGTGCTCTTGTTGCAGATAGCGAAGAATTCCTTTTCACCATCAATCTCTGTGTATTCGCCGTGACCCTGAGATGATTATAGAGGAGTAGGATATACTACTACTAGTATATGCTGGACCAAAAAGGAAATCATTTACTCATTTCACCGAGACCACAGGGGTGCCCTCGGTGGTCCAGAATAGATGAATACCCACTACTTAGAGAAGACTATGTTTAGGAATAGTTATTTTCATAACTAAAGTTCAAAATTATAATAACGGAGCGTGCGGTAAAACGTTTTACCGCACGCTCCGTTGTATGGCCTGTAATTTTTACCTTTCGAACAATGTATACATGTGCTGTAAAAGTATTAAAATCAAACATAGAATATTTAATCCTAATCATTATCCGCCTATTAATGTCCCCACTGCTGGGGCACAGGCCTTCCCTATGGATGGAATAGGGAGATTGGGCCATGCAGATGGGACTAACGGCTTAACGAAGCACGGAGGAGTTACAGTAAATTTTTGGTCACCCATCCAATGACCGACCACTGCGAAAGTTGATTTACTTCAACAATCGCAGCCCAACACAACAAACACAAATATTTGCGCAAACGAGTTCCACTGAGTCGTAATAGTAACAGAAAAATAATATATTTCACCCTCAAATCAGTGCTTGCCGTAGGAACAAATTGTGGAGCCCCAGCTATGGGTACTCCACACAAAAGGATATCTACAAATAAAAGAAAATTTTCTAAAGGAAGGTAAAAACGTTATTTATAAAAGAACAGACACATCGGTCTGCATCGTCATTATTATGAGGATGCAGACCTGAAAAGGCTGCGAAGCGTCAATAAATAAATAAAGTTTGTGCATTAACCCGTTAAAAGTAGTTTTATTTAAATAGTGATGTGCGTGAAAACCACAACAAATAGAATAGTCTCATTTACATTAAACAATTATTACAAATTAAAGATAAATTAGAAAACTGTCCGCACAATAATTTTTTCAGTCAGCTGTCACAATTGACAAGGAAAATGCTTTTCCTTATTTTTGCATCTGTCAAGTGTGATTTGAATATCAGCGGCCAGCAGAGGGTGGCATGCATCTCGCCACAAAGTAACGTCCACATTCTATGACTACAGTGAAAAAATAGTTCTCATTTCCGTTGGTATGGCTCCAGGGCTTGACTTAGTCAGGATTAGAAACCATTTACCTTTTACAACAATCAATTGTCAGCAATCCCTCTTATTACATAAATTACTATAATGTTAGTGAATATAAAAGTTAAAATTAAACTTACATTAGCGATCCACTCCTGCTTGCGTTTCGCTTGTTGCTTCATCTCAGCGATGCGTTGCTGCCGGATTGCTTCAAGGTCGCTGCTATCCAGGGCATCTAATCTGTTAAAGATTAAAATATTTTGTGACTTTATATTATGATCCTTTGATATTTTTACTTAAAAATAAACCTTTATTAATGATTTAACACTTTCAACAATTAACTTTATGTAATTTGTTTCTTAGGTATTCACACACATCACTCATTAAATAAAACATGTTTCAGCAGTATAGATGCACTGTTTGATTTTTTAATTGATGTTTTGTATACTTTACAGGATGCGTCTTCTGAATAATGATTTTATTTACTTTGTCGAGCTACCTTTGATAGACTTTTATTGAAGATTTTTAAAACATTATAGTCTGTATATGAATTTATTTGCTAATTTAATTAGTAAAGTACTCAATTTAATTATTTTTTATAATGTTGAGTTTATTTATTTGACCCTAACTGTAAACTAAATAACTTTGTTTTATTTAACTTTATGTAAGTTAGCACATCAGCCCAATTCCAAATGATCAGTTTATACTTTTGACATTGGTATTATCTAACCTCTTGGAATTGAAAGAAAGGCCTATACCCCAGCAGTGGGGACATTAATAGGCTGATAATGATGATGATGCATATAGAAGTTGAAGTTATTACAATTTTTATGAATTTACCTTTCTATCTCTTTGTCGAGTTGCTTCTCCACATTCTGTGCTACTTGATGTATGATCTGCTCCATTCTGGTTGATATAAAACACTATACAGCCTTTCCTAGAAGAATGTATCGTTATTTTAATATTTAAGTCAAAATAGTCCAGCAAGAAATTTACCTAATTATTTCATCAATATTATTTTAGCCCTCTTTAATAGATCACAAGTAATAATATTTATACTATCCCTTTTATAGTTTCATTTAGATTTAGAGATTTATTTAACAAATGAAGATTGTTTTGATGACCTCATCGTACGCACATGGGCCTCTAACATTATTTATTCACTAAACTTACTTTGTATTAGCAACTGAATCAATTCCAGATGATTTCAAATTATATAAATTACTTTATTAAGACTTGAAACATTAATTTATGACAGCATTTGTGATAAAAATCGTAAAACAAAAGACCAAACACTGCTCGCTATTTATTTCACAAAAAAGGACATTGACATGACAAATCGCAGAACTTGACAGTGTTGCCAGATTCGCGTTTCGCCAAATGGCTTAATTACTCATGGACATAGCCCATATTCGGATGCACGAAAGACATTATTGAATTCGGGCACCCAATATTAAGCAATATTACATGGAAATACGGGCTGGCCCGGGTAACCAAAACGAAAACTACCTACTAATACTACTACTACGGGCGTACTCAACTCTGTTCAACACTTAGTCATTCCCGGAATTCCATTGGCACTCGTATTCGGGCTAACCACCAAGTGTAATCGTGCCATAAATCGTTCCCCAAAAGCTCCCTATAATTCAGGTTATGAAGACAAAATTCATTGATATTATCTTGTAGGGATCGCAATATGGACATAACAGGTATTGACCATTATGCTACCACGGCCCTATTAGCCGCGTCGAAATTTTCCTAGCCTTAAGCTGCAAGGTAGCGCCATCTCTTCGCATTGTAGGTAACCCACAATTGTCCCGTCCGCTGCCTGGTCCGCGTGGATTTTTTTCTAGTAAACTTTTCTTTAGATTTAAACATCTAGCAATTAAATGCTTAAAAAATAAATAAAATCATAACAAGTATTGTACACAGCACAGGACCTCTCTGTCATTTTCGATATTGAAGAGTTACGAATATCGAAATTTCGATATTTTTGATACCGAATGTATTTTCACAAGTAATTATAGTTACATATTTATTAATAAGTTATTTAAATCAAAATGCTTAAGTTTTCTATCATACTGATTCCAAAAAAATAAATTTTACATTTTATGTAATCGCTTCCCAAACCAAAGCGAATTAGCGGCAGGAATTCTTATACTAACGATTACCATCGAGTACCTACCAAACCATAGACCACATGAATACGCTGTGGCAGGATACTGACAGGTTAAACAGAAGACCGTAAAGTACCTATATTATCTTGGCGTTCGTAGACTATGAGTAAGAATTTATTGAAACTAAAGCTTTTTTATACCGTACAGCCTAAGAAAAGTACGGCATAGGGGCTTTTACGCTTTAATTGGAGCGCCCGTCTGGGGAAGTAAGCTCCACTTTACAGAAGACTACAATTTATGTTTCTGTCGGTGAGTCAGGTTCTAAGGCCACGGTGTAGAGGATTGGATCAGGGTAGGTAGCGGCACGAGTGATATTTTGTTGTATCACAAGCGCTTATATGGTGGCCACTTACCATCAGGCGGGCCATATGCTTATTTGCCACCCTTTTAACAAAAATGAATACAGTAAGAGATTTCATTACTAAATTGGCATCTTTACAGTACCTGTTCTGTAATATTTAAAGCATAAGGGGCTTAATTCGGCCTAGTCTAAATTAAATAAATGAATGTATTTAGAAAAAATAGCGTTTCGTTAGTTTTAAGTGAGGAGGCTCATTTCACTGTTCTGTGTTATAAATAGCCACGACAGAATTTCAAGTGACACCAGATTTTGTCCTTCCAACTATCCCTCCTTCAAACATATTTTAGCCCTCATAACTTTTAAAATTTTCAAATTTAGGAGAATCCCTCCAATTTGGCAACATTAGAATTTGACAGTTAATCTATCGTTCAGTAGATACACTCCGGGTGCAACATAATAAGTTTGTCGAAAAGTTGCACTCGGGGCGTAGTTTGGACCGCTCCCTTACAATATTGAAAGAAGCATCCTGATTATAGAGCAACACGACCGGCGCGGGCGACGCGGCAAGGAGGGGCATTCACAACTTTCCCCTCTGCCGATTTTTCCCCGCTGCTGGGCCAGCTCAATTAACAAAACTAGTTGCGCTCGGATATTTCACTAGACTCAGTCAAGTCGCACGAGTGTATAAAAATATCTGCTGGAACCACGGCCTTGAAAAAAAGGACATAACCTCGTCTAATTCTGAGTGAAGTATGCTTCACTTCACTTCGCTTCGAGGAGCTCGATAGCGCAAATGGTTAGCGCGTTCGGCTGCGATAGTTGAAGTTAAGCAACTTTCGTAGTGCAAAGCCTGTGCCCCAGCAGTGGGGACATTAATAGGCTGATGATGATGAAACTGCTGGCTCGGTCATGTACAAAGAATGGGAGAGCATCGGGTAAAGAAAAGAGCGTATCTGGGACGTTTGACACGGCGAAGACCGGTTGATTCCGCTAAAGGGACAAGGTACAGAAAGATATACAGTCTTTGGATGTTGACTCTTGGAGATGGCAGAGCATGGCGTCATCTTGTGCCGAAGACTTAAACTTAAAAAATAAAAATTATAACTATAATTGCTATTTCTTCTTTCAAATGTTTAATACTTGAAAAAGTATTCATTTGATATTGTGGGTTACCTACAATGCGAAGAAATGGCGCTGCCTTGCAGCTTAAGAATGGCTAGAAGAATTTCGACGCGGCCGTCAGGTCTGGTTATATTTCCTTTAGATTTAAAAATCTTATTGTCTTAGAAAGCGCATTAAGGAGGAAGGCTATTAATATTACGCTGCGACCAGTAGGAGCGGAGTATAAATGTAAAATGTTGCAAAAATTGGTAAAAATATTCCATTTGGGAGATACCGTAGCGTGCGCTGCGTAAATGATTAAAATTATACAAAAATCATGTATGACGGAGTTCCATAAAATGGATGCGTGTAACTTATGTACGCGCGTGAGAAGTTATACTTCTTTAGCATCATTAAAAATATTTTTTAATTGCATGCAAATAATTAATAATTACAATAAAATAATAAAAGGACTGGAAAAGGATAGTTAACACAGTCAAAGAAGTTCAGTTTTAATTTGAAAAATTAAATAAATATTCAAAATATTCAATTAAAATCACTACTGAATTTAAGTTATTAGTCCATATGTAATTAGCACTTGTAAGTAACTAAAACACTGTGTCTATATAGAAACTAGAAACAGTGATCAGAGGCGACGAGCGTGCCAACATTGTTTTTGACAACGCGATCATCTTATGGAGCTCCGTGGATCGTTCAAAGTACCTTTCGAACAGATGTCTCATAATGGTGGACATTCATAACGCGCCCGCGGCCAACTTCATGGTGTTACTTTTGGGTTACAGTGATGCGCGCGCATCTAAAAATTTCACTCTCATCATTTTTTCATAACGCGCCTAAAGAAGTATAACTTCAAAAAATGTCCGCAACAGCATATGCCCAACTTTTAAGTTTGACTCACTATAAACTTTTTTCTCAAATTAATGCGGGTGAAACCGCTGGGGACCTTTAGTTGTATATAACTGTAATAGTTAGATATATGATATCGCGGACTTTTTTGTAGATATTGATGTTCTCTATAAAACTAGTACATCACTTTCCTCTACTGTCAATAACTTCCGTAGCGTGAGCGATATGAGGTTATTTTTTTCACACCCTGGGTTGCGTCCACGAAATTTTCATACGGAATCCAATTTTTTTTAAACACTCCATAGCCTATGTTATTCAGGGATAATGTAGAATTCTAAATGTGTAATAACTTTTCAAATCGGTCCAGAAGTTTCGGAGCCATTCAATACAAACAAACAGTCAAATCTTTCCTCTTTATAAAATTAGTACAGAAGTATAAACTACGTATAAGGTATTTTATCTGTGAGCCTACGTTGCTTCAAAGTAAATAAATAAACCACACCGCCATCCACCGCCATCAATGGGTCGCCCACCACCCACCAGCTACTCATCCGAGTGCCCACCAGCTGCTCATCTGAGTGCCCACCAGCTGCTCATCTGAGTGCCCACCAGCTGCTCATCTGAGTGCCCACCAGCTGCTCATCTGAGTGCCCACCAGCTGCTCATCTGAGTGCCCACCAGCTGCTCATCTGAGTGCCCACCAGCTGCTCATCTGAGTGCCCACCAGCTGCTCATCTGAGTGCCCACCAGCTGCTCATCTGAGTGCCTACCAGCTGCTCATCTAAGTGCCCACCAGCTGCTCATCTGAGTGCCCACCAGCTGCTCATCTAAGTGCCTACCAGCTGCCCATCTGAGTGCCCACCAGCTGTCTATCCGAGTGCCCACACAGCTATCCCACCCGCTAGGTCATATTACTTCATATGCGGCAATTTTTTTTGCGACAATCGCGTTGCGTCGTTCGCGGGAAAATGTGACAAATCACGGTGATTTTTTTATTGCTAAAGAGCGCACGCACACTGATCCCTGAGAAGTTGAATATTATCTGCGATTTAAAAACCACGCGATAAAAAATTGAGATGCACGCTAGGCATAAGATGCTCTCGATGACACACAGGTAACAACTCATAATTCCTGCAGGATACTTATTGTGTGGAAACTTTAGTGGTATATATAAAAGAATACGTCAAACGAAATTTACAATAACTTTATTTACAAAATAATAAATGCATTGGTTTATTTTTAACAACACAAGATTTACAATTACAAAATCCGTCTCAGACAGGGACTTACATTAAAAAAACAGACATTAACAAAATCTATTGAGATTTGAGCCTACATTTCACCTACCAAACTCTTAAGAGCCTGCGCTGCGAGTATACGCCCGCTCCGTGCACCCGCTTAACGCAGCGCAGGCTCTTAGTCTATGGTTCAATTTATACCGCCCGGAATGGAATTGTGCAAAGCATAATGACATTTATGTCAATCAATTGTGTAAGATTCCACAGGCAGTACAGACAGTCTCTAGAGGTATTCTCGGGTGAGAATGCGAGAATCGCGCGACCATTTTTTTGGCTCGTATGTAGTTATTTAGTTTGTATTATATGTTATACCGGCACTTAATTTGTAAACTTGAAGTTAGTCTGTCCTTCCCATTTCTTAGCTTGATAAGAGCAGACAGTTGATAAGTTTTACACAATGTTTTCAATGAAAAATTCGACAGTATGTTGTGTACAAATCGGTGGGAATTAAAAAATAAAAAAATAAAAAATACACTAGCGACGAAACGAAAATAATACAAGAAACGCTACCATTCAGAACTTCTAAAATTAAAACAAAAATCGATTGTATATACCTATTATATTAAAGCCAAGAAAGACAAAAATAACAAAAAATATTCGAAGTCAAAACGCAAATTATGTAGTACATTATTATATCATGTTTATATAAAACCTCATACTGATCTTGAAAAAAGGAACTAATTTTATTTGTAAAATATAACTTAATATGAAACAAAGATTATTTTGAGCTTTTTCAAAGTTAAAAATGAGATTGGTCTGAGGTTTTTTTTACAGACATGGGATAATTTTGCATACAAAACATATTTACACAAAATTAAATATCTTTACAAAACAATTGATTTCCTTCGGTAAATTAAAGTTAATTCACAATCACATTGAACCATTTGTTTCCTTCAGTAAAATAGATTCATTTCACATCGAATCGCTACGTCTCCATGTACAAGAATGTCTTATTATTTGTGATGTTTGACAAACAAAATATTCAATACCGACACTTGGCTTGGCTATTTGTAAACTTGAGATCAATCTGTCCTTTTAATTTTTCATGATAAGACCACCGTTATCAAATTTACAAAGACAATGCAATTCAGATAAACATCTACAGAATTATCAGTATTGTACACTTTGAAGTTTGGAAACGAAAATTGTTATAATAATTATTCTTCATTACTGACCAAAAATAATATCAGCACAAAAGCTATTGAAGCAAAGTTTATACAAAATTGGTCTTAACTATTATCACATGAAACTAGATTCAGACAGTCCATCGTGAAACCTACAGTAAATTCTAAAAATCCATCTCAAATATCCTGGTTAACTTCACCACGTGTACACATTAAAATTGTTAAAAAAAAAGTCATCAAATCACACACTTCAGGCCTAATATCATGAGTTCGTTGGCACAGCCTTGTATAATCTAAGACGAGATTCCGAAAGCGCTGACACTACCGTATCACCGTTCAGTTGAACCGCACACACGTCCAGAGCTGGTTCAGCGGCTGGTAAACACATTGTCCTCGCACCATCCAACCCATGAAGGTATAACGTTGACTCGCTCTCAGAATGCGCGGCTATCCAAGAAGCCCCTGGAGCCTTTACCCAGGCAGATCTCGACATAAGAGAAGACCTGGAAGACCCGCTAAAAGTCTGCTCAACATCAAACATTATTTCACCGCTTGGAACACTGGCTTTTAACTTACAAAGTGTCAGTCTCGACCTCTCCCCGTTAGCACCAGCCCTGCAGGATATTACGGCTCTATGAGATTCGTTGTCGTAGCACAGGGACATAAAAGGCCCTTCAACAGGCAACGATCTAGGTTCCCACTGTCGCATGTTAGCCACCCATAACCAGCAAGAGTTCAACTGGCATGAAAGTAGACCGTATTCTGTAGAACATAAAGACACTACTGGCGACACATCACTGGGGTTCGCCAGCCTCTGGATAAAAGTGCTAGGGTTTCGGACGTCGTATTGGTGGATTATACCACCCACACCGCCTACGTAAAACTCATTGCTTCTCATGTAGTCCCACGAACAAGACCACAAAGGAAACCCTGACTGAACTGTGGTGTTAGGAATACCCCGTTCAACAATCCTCGCAGAGCTATCTAAACCGACGCTCAGCAGTAAATCTCTCTGTTGCGAATACGTGATGTCTCTAATCGGCTTAGGATGTAGATGCACGAATTGCCCCAACTTGTAGTCGACGCAACTCACTTTCCGGATGCCGTAGCCCGGAAATAAATAGTTTGTGCTTTTCTGCGAAACGTACAGCTCGTACGTTCTGCAGTTGTATGTCATGACTCGACAACCACCGTCCTTGCAGATCTCCAAGTTCTTTTCTAGGGCGAATCGCCAGGATCTTCTAACTGGCTGCTCTTTGGTCACTTGTGACTTTAATAAAGTTTTCCGTAAGACTTCTAGCTGTAGCAGACATGCCCTGTGAGCTATTCTTGATTTCTGAAGCTCCAACTCTGCTTTGCTCTTTTCTGTTTGAAGTACGTCGATCTGTTTTTGCAGTGTGGTGATTTGGGAAGTATCTGCCGCTACTAAGCGTCTAGCGTAGATGTGCCTGACGTCTCGCATGTGCGCTTTGCTCTTACACGTCGGGCAAGCTCTATCCTTAGCCGATTGCGCTTTCAACCACCTCTCGACGCAATGCGAGCCGAACAAGTGGCCACACTTCAGTGCGACAAGTCTGTGATCACCGGAATTTCCCCACGAATCTAAACATATCGGACACGTTTCGCCGTCCAAATCTTCAGACTTGTTTGGTGAGGAAACTTTTCGAATTTTGGCAGGGGGCTCTTCGACATTACTTTCACTTTTCCTAATCTGCGTTTCTGGGAGGGACATTAGACTGTTGGACTCTTCGTTTACGGATTGTAGGACAGTGCTGGCGTTGCTGTCTTCGTTGGTTGAACTGTGAGGTAGTACTGAACTCGAGTTATCGTCCAAGTCGATGCCAGGTCGCCAGACGGGTTCATTGTAGTTGGCTGCAGATGAGTCTGTGCTGTCCTCGTAAACATGAACTCGCTGAGTGTACGTCTCTGAGTCTTGAGCTGGTAGTGGAAGGCCCACATTATCGGGGGAGGGAGGATCGAGTAAGTTGGGGCTCCCCGGAGACTCGGGGATGAGGATGCTGGGGCTCGGTTGGGGAGAGCCGCGATCTTGACTCATCTTGCAAAACCATGGGAAGGACCTGGATAAAAGAAAAGCACAGCATGTAGATGTAATTATGCATAGATAAAGTTTAAGGAAGAACATCAAACAGTATGAAAGAGATAAATATAGTCAGTGTAAATATTATAGCTTGTTATCAGCTCAAAACCACATCCTGCTGCCAATAATAGGGATGATGACAATTTGTTTTTCTTCATCTATTAGATAGATGATCAAAGTGTATTGGACACTTATTTTTTCTTTTTTAACGTAATCAGAACAATGCAGGAGTAGATATATTGATTTGAAACATTGCGTGATTTCACGTTTCGGTACACTTTTTATTTAGAAGTGACGTCATAAACACAACTTTGACGCACTTTGATTGACAAAGGGAAAAAATAAGCATACATAATTTTTCTTATTGACAGAGTCAATAGAATTTCATTTCCTCTACCCCTCAGCATCCCAATTTGAGATTGTCCGTTAATTTTCTTTCCTTAATTCTCAAAGTTGTAAGGTAAAAAAATAAAAAAACCTGCGTAACTATTTATTTAGTTGGTTATTTCAAAAAAAGAACGAAAAAGGCTGGAGGTGATGGCCGGGTAATGGTAGCCGATTTAGCTTCTCAGCTTCCATTTAAAGTGAGAGTTGTAACGGGCGCCGGGAAGCTGGTAACATCTCCAGGTGTCCGGAATAACTTACGGGAACATCAGCTTTTAATCTCAAAGGCAGTTTTGACTAGGGTTGAATGATAAAGGTGTTTTCCTCTTCAATTATTTATTGTGAAAGTGTACATACCAGATTGGATTCCAGGCGTCAAAGTACATTAAGTATTGGATTTACTTAGACTATTATGGCTGGTCCATGGTCAAAGATATCAAAATGATATTTATAAAGATATCATTAAAATTAAAGATGAAGCTAAAGAAATTAAGGATTATAAAGACCACTTAAAGAGTATAAAGAGCTGAAACAAAAGAGACATTTGTGAGACCAGGCAACATGGCTAGATATATGTATGACAATTTTAATCTTAATTCTTACCTGCAATCGCAGCTCTTTTAAAGTTTTACTAATGGGCCATTGGCACCAATATTAGTTTGCAAAAATGCGATGAGCGCATTTTTGGAAAAAGAAACCGAACTATAAATTATTATTATATTTCACATTTTTAAAAAGTGACTGGTCGTGTCTGCAAAGAATCGAAAAGTAATGTTGCCAGGTCGCACTTCCAAAAACGCCGCGAGTCTCAGTGTTGGCGCATTAAAATTTAAATTTGGGCATGGACTAACCATAAATTACAAAAGTTTACTTAAATTTAGAATGACAATTATTACGTATTTATTTTAATGTTTTATAAAATTAAGACAATTTTTAAAGATGTTTCGTTTATTAAAAAAAATAGGGAAAATCCTTAAGTGACGGATGTCAAACCATATATTATTTATCTATGTATGTGACGGCGTAAATACGACGTTACAATTCCCCCCCACTAGATTTTATAAAAATAACGAATGTTATTTTTATAACATCCAACTACACCTAACAGTAAAGAAAGAGGAAAGAAAAAAAAATGATTACTTTATAATAATCTAATAAAATTTCCATTGACTGGCATGCAACTGGTTAAATATGGTCGGCACACTCGCCACATATAAAACAGCAAGTCAATTTAAATATGAAAACAAAAGTTATATTAAAATTAATTTATTGCAGAAAATATTCCAATATAAGGATTTCTTGTTATGCATTGAAACGCTTCTGGTTTAGAGTAGTCAGCACCATCGCCTTACACTAAACATTCGAATACAAACAATATTCCTAATAAAATAAACTTTATGAAAGTTTCAAATTCTTAACACATAAATGTGTGGAATAGGAAAGAGAAAAAAAATGTTCTACCGATTCAACCGATTTAGAGTAGTCGGCACCCTCGCCTTACACTAAATTATCGAGCAGAAACAAAAATTACCAAACACAATAATAATCGAGTTGGGAAAATAAGTATTGTGTTACCGAATACTACTGATTCAATGCAGTCGGCACCTTCGCCCTACATAGAATGATCAAGGAACTACAAAATTAAATGCAATCTAATACAAAATGAATGCATTTCAAAATACAAAAGGAATGCACTACAAAAGAATGAATGCATCACAAAATTAATGCACTATCGAATACCACTGATTCAATGTAGTCGGCTCCTTCGCCCTACATAGAATAATCGCATAGCTGCATAAAGAAAACAGAACGAGTTATCTATAAAACACCGTTTGGGAAATTGGAAAAAAAACAGAACGAGTTATTAATGAAACACCGTCTGGGAAAATGGAAAAAAAACAGAACGAGTTATTAATAAAACATCGTCTGGGAAAATAGTATGTCAGTCATAAGACTAACACTACGAATTTTTTCCAGCAAAGCTGTAGGAAAAACACAGAACATTCTAATGATGTCTAGCAAACCTATAAAATAAATTGTACCAAATCAAGTATGAACTTGATGGAAAAGGGAAAAAGTAAAACGGGAAAGTCCGTCTAAAAGTCGCGTCCGTGTAATAGTTCTTAAGACTACAGACTAAACACAAACACCTAAACAAACTTTACAAAATAGTAAATTAAATAGTAATTTCTACACTTCAACTATTTATACAAACGAAATAAACATTACTACGTTATTAGTAGACTATTGTGGAAGAACAACAGAAGCTAATAAGGAATAAACGTGGAAACAAGGAACTCTAATCCATTAATCTAGTTAATGAATAAAGACCAGAAATAAATTATTAAGGATCTCCAAAAGTTTATAAGTCTTTTAATAATAAAACGTATAAGACTTGGAAATTTAAAAACAAAAGGTTATCTATATAAAATCCTCAAAATATGAGATCTTATAAAAATAAGAAGACCCAAAACAAACTAAGATAAGATCCTATGATGCTAGAAGCAAAATCAAATTCTTCAAAAAAGAGTGAAAACATCTAATTGCCAGATAGAATATTATTAAATTAATTTAATTACCAAAAACATGCCTAATAAAATGATACCAATTCAATTTTAAAACTGAGATTCTATTTCTTCGCTTTAGGATCCTCATACATCACCATTCAATATATCCGCAACCTTTTATTCATCCCTCATTCATCACCTTGCAAGCGGATCGTTTCCAAAACGCAAGTGAAAAGAACCAAAGTGAAATTTAGAAAGGGAAAACCGCAAATGTCAACTATCAAAATGAACAAAATGTCTAATTATCTAAGTTATATTTTCAAAATATCTTTAATGTGGTATCTACCAGTACTATTTTTATCAAAATCTTTTAATAAATAAACATTATTTGAAATTTTGTCAATTATTTTGCATTTAACAAATTTAGGTGCTAACTTTGAAGAAAAGAAATGAATTGCGTTGGATTGTACAAAGTTTCTCCTCCATACAATATCTCCAACGTCATAGGAAATGACTTTTCGATTCGAATTATAAAATTTAGCATTCTTTTTATAAGATTTTGCTAAATTATCAACAACTTTAATAAAAATATCTTTAAGTGAATCTAACAAATTACCATAACCGTCAGGTTTCTCAATATTAATATCAAACAAGTCATCTATAGAAGAATATCTATGCAAGGACCCATTCAACACGACTTCACGACCGAACATAAGAAAGTTTGGAGTAAAACTAGTAACCAAATTAACAGTACTATTAATAGCACTTTGAACATGGGGAATGAACTTAGACCATGTCTATGATCATTTGCAACATAACATGAAATACAGGTTTCTATTGTCTTATTGAATGAAGTTCCTGCCATGATTTTATCAGTTTGACACTCCTTATCCGTCATAGTGTAAGATTCTTATAAGACTTAAGTTATTTTCTCTATTTCACAGAAAAATATTAAACTATATTGTAAGTTTAACAAAAACTACCAAGTTGTAATGCTTTCCAATAAATTTAAGTTGTTTTTATAAAACTAACATTAATTAACAGTTAAATTCTAATAATTTTATCAATTATTCAATAAAAATAAGAATTACCAAGAACTAATTCTTGTAAACAAACACTTTATGCAATAAAAGTTATCTCATATCATTGTATACTAAGATTTGCAATGAAAGTTTAAGTGGAAATTTATTGACAAATTGAAAAGTTAAATGCAATGTTTATGGAAACCTACAGTTAAATTAAACAATAACAGTTACTCAGGAATATGAATTAACCAGTATAATATCAGAATAAACCTGATACTATATCAAAACATTTGAACTTCAATGTACAAAACTTAAGTTTGACATGTAATAAAACTTGTTATGTATTGTTGTTGTAAAAAAAAGTTAATTTTGCATTATCAATTGCATAGAAAACTGATTAATAGACACTGTGCATAAGTGATTAACAACAGGATTAAACAATTAAAACTATTTTCAGTAAACACTTAGTAATAAACACATGTACTTACTTGAACTTATATTAAGTTTACACAATTCTGTAAATGATAGGTTAACACAAGTAAATTATGCATGAAACAATATTTATTTCTTGCTGAAAGCTGAAATGCACATTAAATAACAAAACAACAATATTATGCAGTGACTATTTGCAAATAATTTGTCAAATCTCAAAATATGGTCAAAGAAAGTTGTGTGAACGGTTATTAGCATCACATTTTCTTCTCAGAATCTATTTATTCTAAAATATATTATGTACTAATTACATAATAGCAAATTAGTTTATAATGAAAGTAAAATATGGCTATAAGCTTGCCAAAACAAAGCTTTGAAGCAAAAATGGAAAAAGTTACTCGATGAATGTTATGTGATAATAACATTCAGTTCAAAAGTAAAAAAATAATGAATTTATGTTAAGCAAAATGTGAAAGTTATGATGGATATAGCAAAATAACTATATTTCACTTACAAAGTTACAAAATATCCTAGTCAAAATCCTGTCCCTATGTGAGAGGCGACATTGTAAGGTAAAAAAAATTAAAAAAACTGTGTGACTATTTATTTAGTTGGTTATTTCAAAAAAAGAA